GAAATATAATACTTATATTATAAAAGTAGAGTCGGTATTCTCTAGTATTCTAATAATCGATATATCGAGAAGTATAGTATTAGTAAAGGATAATTACTAACTAGTATCGTACTAACTAGGTTTATCTAGGTCTAACTAGACTTCGAGTATCGGTATATAGAAGTTACTATATATATTTTACTACCTATCTTTAGAATTATTAGAACTAGATAACGCTACTAGAAATACTAAGTTAGCTATAATACTCTAATATTCTTCTATATTAGCTTATATACTTAGTATCTTACTACTATTATTATCTAAATAGTAGAATATACTTAGAGTTAAAATCGTTAAAAGTATAGAAGAGACTACTTATAGAGCCGATTAACTACTAAGAGAAGATAGATACTATATAAGTAGAATAGCTAGAGTCTAGATAGTAATTATATAGAGTCTAAGAAGAGATAAGAAAGTAGACTCTAATAACTAACTAGCTAGTAGGCTTTCTAGTAGTCCTATAGCTATAGATTCTTCTAATCTCTATAAAGTAATAGCTATTATTAATTGCCTAATAATAGTAGTAAATATAATTAGAAATATAGAGGGACTCTATATAAGATTAGTTAAGAGCTTCCTATTAAAATAAGGAAAAATATATAAATATAGTAGTATTAAGTAACTACTTTGCTTATTTATTGCCTTCTAGAGGCTAACTATCCTACCGATACGCTAGGTTAGCGAAGTATAGGAAGTAGATAGGTAGAAGACCCGTAAGAAGTAAAAGGCTTGCTTCTACGAGATTGCTCTTATAGCTCCGGCCCGAAATGCCGATTTAATAATCAAGTCTGCACTTAGGTCGCAACATCGTCGCTTCACTAGGCTCGTCCGGAGCGTGTTGGATGGATTCATGTTCGCGTATTGGCAAAGTGGCCGCATCTTCTTCTGCCAGGAGTTCCGTTTCGCGGTCTGAGCTGCTCGATCTGCTGTGCGCGGTTGAGTGTGACTCCGGAGCTGGCTGGGAGACCGTTGTAGCACCAAGGTACACTGATGGATCAGACGTGGTCGCGACAGAGCGCTGGGGAGCTTCATCCCGAGTCGAGGCCGACATGTTCGCTGACAGCGGTAAGCAGTAGGTCACGATACGTGACGGGGCGACGAAATCAATTATATATGGCCCAGTCGAACAGTGGCCCATAGCCTCGATTTGTACAAAGGCTGGAGTCGTTACTGTAACTGCAGTCACGTACAACCGCGCTGCAGGTGCGACTCCTGCACAAGACTTCATTGGATAGATCTTGTTTGTGACAGCATAGCTGAACATTGTGGCTTGTCAAGCCTCATGCATCGCCACCTTTCCTTCTCCTCATATATCCATGTTTGCGGATCATTATTGCCCGGCGAATGAGGCTGTGTTTGGGCGACTGGTGTTCCGGGATGCTAATTTTGTGCGATAGGTAATCTCTGACCTTTACTCAGATAGTCATGAGGTCCGCCGCATCAGCTGCGACTGTGAACAAGGATGAAAATTTGCAGAGCACCGAGAGGAAGGGTGTCATTGCCAAGGAGAGGCGCTGATCAGTTTTGCAGATTGGCCAGAAGGGTTGACGCTCGAAAGCTCCAGAGGTCGTGTAACCACACCTCGCATTGGCACCAGTTTGGCCGTGACTGCGAAGCACATGAAAGGCGACGCCCGCACCATAGATCGTGCCGTAGTGCTCAGGTCTCTGCAAGCTCTCAAATCAGCTTCCGATTGCCAATTATACCACCAAAGGCGTTGAGATCTGGACACTGTGCATAGTTATGTGCGAGAAGTAGTTTTGAAGGTCAAAGTCGTTCGGAAACGCGAAAATGGTAACAACACCCAGCCGTGCATAGCTTTCACAATGCCAGATGCGCCATGTGTCCCTCGCATACGCTCTTCATTAACCAGTGTCTACAAATAGGCGCTCACCACTGAACAGGAGCAGTGTGTCTGGTCACCACCCAGTAGCCCGGCAGGGTCTCTGTTCAAACGCAATCCTTATCGTTTTACGCCGCGATAATCAGGTGTGGATTTGGTCTCGTTGTCTAAGTTTTGCTCCATATGCCCATATCATCCATGGCAACGGCCATCCAATCACTACCGCAATTCCTGCGAGCAATGTATTCCCAAAGCCGTAGCCAAGACGGTGAAACATGCTCGGTGTGACTATCGAGAGCCCAAATCCTACCAGACATCGCAGGATGTAGACACCCGCCATGGCGTCTGTAGCTCGCTGCTCGTATACATCAGCAATGTACAAGCTCGTGAATTGCAATACAATGACCTCTCCCGCTGCGTACAGAGCCACACCAAGATCAGGTACGACTGGGAATAATCGCGACTGAGCAGACCATCCAAACAATAATAATCCGGCCGGTAATAAGAGTGCACCAAACACGAGAGCAGGCGTCCTGTACTCTGGTCGAGCAAGATCTACACGATCCGATTGCATCGTCAACTTGCGATACAACCATACATTGAACGGCCGAACTCCGAGCGAACCACCGATCTCGCCCACAGCAATCGCTATGAAATTCAGGCTGGCCAGGTCAGACCGCTGACCATATCCATGTCCCCAAACATCCTCAAAAGAGACAAAAGACATGTACACAATTGCATACGTCACAGCCGCGTACAGTGCCAGCAATTGCGTTGTTGCGTGCAAAGTAAAGATTCGCATCGGTCTTTGAAAAGCTTCGTTCACGGCTGCGAGAAGGATTTTCTTCTCTGCACCGCTGGTATCGCTACTCATCAGCGGAACATGTGTCTCTCGGAGAAATATGACTCCGACAACCTGCACGATGGTACTTGCAATCGAAATGCAGAAAAATGACCACCGCCATGTCAAGTGCTTGGTGATGAAGGCTCCAACGATGGGTGCTACAGCTGGACCTAGCTGGACCGGCAATGTGTATACGGGAATCATCCTCGTCCGTTCGTCTGCTGTCCAGCAATCGGTCAAGATGCCGATACCAAGCTGAGTTTGCAGTCAGTACCTCTGGTCTTGGTTCCGGCTCCACCAACATACCGTAACAGGCCCACTGCCTCCAAAACCACTGAGGAATCTGAACACGCTCAAGCTCCAGTTGGTATTTGCAACCCCAGCAGCCGTGTTGAAGATGACGAAAACGAGGCAACTACACTGCAATACGCGAACTCGCCCAAATGTCGATGACAGTGGCGCAATCAGAAGTGGGCCGAAAATATATCCGAGTAAGAATGCCGACAGAGGTAGTGCTGTCAGCTGACGGTTTCCCACTGTCCCAAACTCGCTCGCTATGATTGGTAGCGCAAATGAAGGTGACGATGCCGCAAGAGACGAGACGAACCGGAGGCAACCAACGAGGAAGGTCGTGCGTAGTTTCTTCCCGTGGGACCAATCGCGAGCTGGGCGAGACTCTTCGTTCGGATCGTTGTGAGCAGGAGATTCAGCCTCATCTACAGACGATGATGGTTTCGCTCTGGAGGGTTGTTTTTCAGTCATTTCGTCGATCTCAGCCTTGTCCTTTTGATTGGTCTGTGGAAAGCGAAAGTGATAATTGCAGAACTGGACGATACCAGATCCTCGAGCACCAAGAGAATGTACACGACAATGCCGCCACGGGAGGTCGTCTTGAGAATTGATTCCAAAGTCGTCAGAATTGTTCATACGAGGTAGTGCCCGCTCCGAGACCGGCCCCAATAAGTTCGTGTTCCTGGACGGAGCTCAATGCACCGCCAATGTCTCACAGGGTCCACGCAGATCATGCAAGGCTAGCCAAGGGCCAGGGGACCTGGACAATTCGACATCCCGATTATCAGATCATCAATCAATAATCTGATGGCACGCTTTCATCGGCATATGCCGCGACATGGCCCCATGTTATCAGCCCTATCTCGACTATTGGCGATCGATGTGGGCGGAAGAACTTCTGGCGCCTTCAGGCAGCCGATACTATCGTTCTCACAGTCGACGTCCCATCCGAAGCAACTTTCTGGTCATCGAGCATATCCGTCGTGCTACTTACAAGTGCTCCGGCTCGGAGCATGCTACTACTGTTCTGCCTTCTCATAAACTGTATAGTGAGAGCACATCTGATACCGAAACCCGAGGATTCTCAGTACTGTGCAATAGCATGCTCAGCTATCATCGGCCGGATCAAATTCGAACAGAAACCAGCCGAAAACCCAGTCTGCTCTGGAGTGCTCGCAGTTCAATCAGTCTTCCATTGCGTCGACCATTATTGTGAGCTGGACGATATTAACCGGGGCTTGGACTATCTGAACTGGACATGTACTCAAGAGAAGCGCTCATTTTTGAGCCCATACCAGCTGGCCAGCACCAATAATTTGACTGTGATTAATGCTCAAGAGGCCAAAGGGACCCGGTACACACAGATTGTCATACCTAGCGAGGAGTACTACCAGACTGCACTGGGATCGACAGTGGGACACCTCTTCCGCTACCAGCAACTCGAGTTATTGACAATTTTATAGGTCACACGATATGCTGCGACGGCAGCCTCTTGGAATTTTGCCTTCGGCTTATACGGCTTTTGGGGCGTAGTCATGCTAATAGGCATCTTGCAGCGAATTATTCGAGCAAGGCCTGCAAGACTTTTTCCCAGCAGTTGGCCAGCTCTACAACGTGTTCCAAGCGTCCCCTCTCCCGCGTTCAGCCCGCCTGGAAAAGTCGTGACCACTATCATAATAGCCTACACAACGCTTTGCATCATCGCCTGTTTCCCCGCATACAAAACCTATCGGGGTAATATCTACTACGCCAGCGAAAGGATCGAGTTGGGGAAGTATATCTCCAATCGGCTGGGAATTTTGACTGCCGCTAATATTCCGCTCATTTGGTTGTTTGCTGCTCGAAATAATCCCCTTCTATGGGTATCTGGATGGTCTTACCCGGTTTTCAGTCAGTTTCATCGTTGGACCGCACGCATTACAGCTCTGCTGGCCATTGCACACGGGATAGGCTACTCAATCACGAATTCCTACAAAAAGACATATTACGTGACCTGGAATGAGAGCTACTGGCGTTGGGGAGTGATAGTGAGTAGATCAACCTCACACGAGCCTCGTGACGGGAATCAGACTGACAACGGGCATCATAGGCGCTTCTCGCGATTTGTGTCCTCGCCGCTACATCCATTCCCATACTTCTGGCCCGCTACTACGACTTGTTCCTTATCATGCATACGGCCTGCGCCGCTGTAGGCTTGGCCGGCGTCTACTATCATCACAACGAGCTCCTCGAAAGAAATACCTATCACCTGTTCGTCTGGATTGCCGTGGCCGTATGGATCGCGGAACGTCTGCTCCGGCTCGTCAGAATCACGCGGAACGGATATGCTCAGATCAATACTTATGCCAAGCTTACCCTTCCAGAAGGCTCAGACATGCTGAGGCTAGATGTCACAGAGCACTTCAAGAATTCGCATCATGCACCAGGGCTCGGACAGTACTATTTCATACGCGAGCCACTTCGGTGGAAAGGATGGGAAAGCCATCCCTTTACGCTCTGTTCTTGGCCTCTGAGTACTTCGGCTCCAAACAGTCGACTAGAGTTCTCGAAAGGCGCGGCGATTGAGACCAACGCACACAGGAGCAAGGAATCGAGTATGGGGTACTGTTTTCTAATCAGCCCTCGCAGGGGCTTTACAAGTAGATTGAAGAATCTAGCTTCAAGTCCCGCCTCCTCGTCTGCGATATCTCCGCAGAGGGTTGAACATCAAGGCAGGAACGTTCGTCTTTTGCTGGAAGGTCCTTACCCTGTTGCTACTCTCGCATTGGCCCCATCTGGTTCCATGCTTCTTCTGGTAGCAGGGGGCTCTGGGATCAGCTCTTGTATCCCTCGGCTCTATCAATACATCTCTCACGAAAATTACCTCGGAGTCCATCTGGTCTGGGTAGTCCGTTCCATGGGGACCTTCAACGACGTTCGCGAGCATGAGCTGGCCAGCTTGCTTATGAATGAGAAGCAGACGAGGGGTGTAGAGATCAGTGTTTACGTGACCTCCTCACCAGCTTCAGACAGTGGGCAAGGGCGGAACACAGAGCGAGCGAGTCGTGAAGCAGACGATCAGCCGCAAAACACCCAGACCTTATACAAGACGTATTCTGGTCGGCCAGACCTCGACACTTTGATCAAAACCGAGTGCGAGAAGGCCAGTGTCAATTTCTCGTCTCTCAGCATCTTCTGTTGTGGACCGCCTTCTTTAGCAATGAGATGTAGAGCTGCTACCAAAGCTTCAAAAAGTGCAGGGGGTGGGCCACCGACAGAGTTTGTTGCACATGAACATGGATGGTGATCAGATGCATTAGCACGGTCGTCGGACATCAGCCATACAGGAGACTTTGATAGTGACTTCTCTTTAGTCCAGTCGCGCTGAGAGACCTTGATTTTGCAAGAGCCAAGATGATATGCTCAGCTGCAGCGACATTTCGAGACAGCGATATCATTCCAGGAGTGCCCTGAACTTCTCTTCCACTGTCTGCTCTTTGAAAACGCACAGGTGATGTTGCATTTCGACTTCGTACCGGGCCGGTCGAGCTCTCGTCGGCCTTTGTCGCTTCAAATAGAGTTTCAATGTCCTGATGTGAGCCAGTCGACCCATCCTTGGATAGTGCTTGGCGTCCGTGGCCTGGTTAGGGTCAAAACAGGGCAAACTTACATCTGTGCCAAGGCTCTAGCAATGTGGCCATGGTCCCATGTCACACTACCAGACATGTCTCGCCTTCACCGCGAATTGGCCGAGCTCAAGAGAGCGAAGAATCGCCCTTGGCATGCTTACCTTGTAGTCTTGTAAGACATCGACCATGTCTGATGCAGGCTAAATGATGACAACATGATCACAACGATCCCTCATACCACCGTCCAGCTCATCATGTCCCGCCATTAAGCTACCAGACATACATGGGCTCTGAGAGAGTTTTGCGGTACTTTTCGAATGCCAGCAGGGAATTCGTGGGGCAGATGGACTTTGTCGTGGCGATACCACACGCCACAGCCATAGCTACCAACATAAATTGCCGCATGTCATCGATGGGGCATAGCATCGCCATCTTATCTTATCTCATTCCTCAATCACATCGCCCTAGCGATTCTATAATGCCACATTCCAGCTTTCTTGACTCGGACAATATGTCCTTCCAGCAGGCACAAGATCTGCCAACCAAGGTTCGAGCCGCTTATGAAGTCAGCTCACGCTTGATAGCTTCCCTTATCAATGAAGGCTTCCTGAAAGCGTCACCGTGCAAATGTCCTATATTGGAATTATCGCATGGTGCCTCCGGAATTCGCGTGTACGGTATCGCTGGCCATGAACAACAAGAGCTTTGGGTGGGAACATCAAGATCACATGGTTCAGGTGCCAGACTCTGGTACCCCGCCGACTTCGTGTTCCCCGTCTGGATTCGCGATGAATCTTCGGGATGGTGCAAGGCACATCATCCTCGACAAATCGCGATCAGGGCCCGTGAGATGTCTTTGTTAGGTGCTGCAGAGATAGAAGGAGATTGGGAGGTGATTGTGAAACAGCTTGACTCTGCATTCAGCGACATGGGTATGTTCGCCCTGCGTACTCGTCATGAGGCGGAACTTGCGCTGACATCTGTTTACCAGTGACATGGTTACAATGGGGCGAGAGCAGACTCATTCCAACCATCGAATCGCCGACAATCGCATGGGAGCAAGCAGTGGTCGTTGGCCACCCCGTCAATCCGGTGCGTGTGGGATTAAGAGTCCAGATCCGTGGCTCGACGCTTACTTCACGACTGGACTACAGATAGGCCGTTCGATATTGGCGCACCACGGTGCCGAGTACTTGGAACCTTCGGAAGCAACAAGCCTCCTTCACCCGGGCATCTCACTGATAGCCATCGATCGCTCCAAGACTAAAATCACTGGACCTCTATGCTCTATCCTCAACAAGCTATTGTGTGAACTACAGCTGCCTCCGACTCAACAAAACGAGCTCACCATTCCGTGCCTCAGCAGACAGCTACCTGCCATTCAAGGCTTCTTCCCGACAGCCCGCGTGCTTCGAAGCGACGCATTCTTCGCGTCAGCACAAACCTCACTTCGCACAGTCCAGATGCCGGATCATTTCGGTTTGGACTACCACATCAAATTTGCCCTTTCCTACACCATTGGATCCAATCTGCGGACTATCACCCCTCATACGGTGGGGATGAGCCAGGAACTATCGAATGTCATTGCAGACGCTGTAGCAGACGACACATGGATCTGTCAAGAGGTCGCCGGAGTGACAGGATCACAGAAGGATGCCAAGGCTGCGCGTCATTTGTCCTGTATGCTCCGCCAGAATCTCGAGCCACGCGCAAAAGCTCTCGGTCAAACTCTCATTGTCGTATCCGCATTACGTCAGGTCCCAGCTCACCAGTCCGAATGTATCGCAGCCCTGGTGTTCGATCTGAAAACGCCAGACTCGAAGCTCGCCTGGTTCAAACAATTCTCTTCCAAACTCCTCCATGCAGTCCTCATTCCAGCCTTGCGATCCGGCATTGGCCTTGAAGCTCACGGTCAAAACAGCCTCATTCGTGTTGACATCGCAACCCGCGCCATCGTTGGATTTTGCTTTCGCGACTTCGGCAGCTGCAAAATTCACATGCCTACGTTGAACCGCCGTGGTCACTATCTGGACACCATGAAGCCTGGGTGCTGGATACCTGCTGACAGAGAAGAAGAAGCTTGGGACCAGCTGCAGCATACCGTGTTCAATGAGCAGCTGCAGTCAATGATCGGCCAACTTAAGCTAGATCCAACCACCGCATGGACGTTAGTACGGGATCAGCTCGACGACTTCTTCGCATCAAATATGGAATTCGAGGCAGCTTCTCGAATGCATGCCTACTTTACGCGTCCGATGGTGTCGTATAAGGCTCTCCTGCGCCTGGGATTCAACCTCAATGCTACTGAGGTAAGTCTTTCACTCGTGCGTATCCTCGTGAAGGGCTAACACGTGTATGCTCTGTGTCTAGGATATTTTTGTAGAAGTGCCAAATGCTCTACACTTCGAGGTGGTAAACTGTACTGGACTAGATGCTGCGAGGAAAATCCAGTTAGAGTGAGAGCAGGTGTAGCTCCGCCCTGAAGTCCCAACAACTCAATCAGACTTTTCACTTGACTTGCGACATGATGCCTTTGCTCAAGCTCAACCGTGACTCAGTGGATGTAGGCGATCGCATCATCTCCGATTGAGCGTTCCAAGTCGTAATGTGGACTTCTTCATCTGGTCATCGCCGTCGGTTTTGGTTGAGAAGATCGCGGCGAGTCTGTCACAGCATGGACGCGTATCGGCATTTTGGGAATTGTCGACAGCTGGGGCTGCTGGTCCCAACTGAGGATCGAGGGCGGCATAATCTCCAGCCAGATTTCGTGAGAGGTAATGCGCTATTACTAGCAAAGTGCTCGCCGGTTAGCCAGCGGCAAAGAACGATGAAGGGAAGCCGGATCATGATTTCGCCGGCTCTGGCGCCACTCTCTGCATGGCAACGGCCGAACTTCACCGACTTCACGTCTCCCTCCTCCTCCTCCTTATGCAGCACGCTTCTCAGGCAACGGACAGAGACGTGGTCATCACCACGTGGCCATTCTTGCAGACCGACGGCTCTGCGCAGCTCGAAGCTTGGAGCTGGGATGCCATGGGCGAATCAAAGCATGGCACTGGGAGGCCGCCCGCCACGTCACCGCGTGACACCGGCAGGGCAAATGCCGCAAGTGAGGGCGCTTCTCATCATTGACTGCGTTGGTAGGCTTAGCAGTCTCGCAACAAACTCAAAACTACCTGCAACCGATCCTGCCTGGGCGCGTTGACGAATCATGGGTCGATTATATCTCCGCCCAAGACGTTCACGCTACCTGCGTCCGGCATTTGTGGTTGCCTGCAACGATGACCGAGGGGCCCCTCCTGGCCGTCCACTTCGTTGACACTGCACAGCCCTTGAAAAAGCTTCGGAATCTGCTCCGATGAGCTGCCTGGATGGCGGCATACGACGTGGTAGTCTTCAAAAGCCGGCAGCTGCCTCTTCGATCTGCATTGTGATCCATCCGACAATGCTTACTGCGACACAGGGCACTGGGGCACTGCTGGCCTCGGCACTCGGCCACGCCTTCCAGTCCAATGGTACGCCGTTTCGCGCTGGGCTCATGCGTACAACGGTCCAAGCTAGGCGGCACCGCCAACCTTCTACCATGCGCCCCCAATCATGATAAGCACTGTGCTGTTCGGCGACCAGAATACAATCTTTCCAAGGCATCGGATCCTTCTTCAATTTGATGGTGTCTTCTCGACCTCATATTGCTGCGTCGGAATTCCATCTAGAGCAGCGGACGCCCTTGCCGTCTGGGTATGGAGCCGCAACTCTTTCCGCGAGAGCGTGGCGATGCAGGAGGCGGTATCTACAACTCTCGGTCTCCAGCAGCGCCGCAGACGAAAGACTGCTTGCCATTCACGCATTTATGCGACTTGTTCAAGACTCTGGTACCACCCGACAGTGTGTTCGCCAGCTTACAGTCGATCGACGGCTCGTGTCAAGCAGAAATGTCGCGACTACGGGCAGTGCTGCCTAGCGCAGAAGTCCCTGCTACAACCGGTCCTATGGTGACGGCACAATGCAGTACGACCCGCCTTAAGCTACTCACCTATGCGGCTTCCAACAACCTAGCGGGCATGGATGACCAACAAGGGCGAGCGTCGGCGAATGTATCAATCTTGCAGTATTTTGAAAGCTTATCAGCGAACCTCTTTCGAGCCTACGAAAACACATACCTTGGTCCGACGCTGTTCAGCAATGATATTTCGATGCGGCCAATAGCGGAGACCCTCTTCAAAGCGGCGGTAGGGACTGGCGACGTCGGAGTCGTCAGGCAGATTCTCTCGTCGCCGGAGTGCAGTCTCAAAATCAACGACGTGGTGGTTATCGAGGAAAGCAGTGGTGTTCCTTTTACGGCGTTGGAGTTCGCGGCCCATTGTCAGAACCTTGCACTCGTGGAACTACTTGTCGACAACGGAGCTGATCTGGATGGTTATCGCACACGCTTGTGCAGCAATAAAGTGCGCGTCATTGGGGAGAATGCATCGATGAAAGGACGCTCGATCGCGGCTGAAGCACGGGTTCGCGGCAGTCTGGAATGCGCACTATGTCCAAGACTTCTCAATGACGAAGGGTGGAGCCCCCCTGGTTACAACCCTGATTTGATCAGTCACCTCATTGAATGTGGTGCCCGGATTCAACCTGTGAAGGATGGCTGGCCGTGCGAATATCTGTTGCACCAGATGGCTTTACCCGACCATGACAGCACTGTGGATCTTCTGGTCAGCCGGCTCATCAACTCGGCCAACCAGCGCAGCTGGATGGACAGCGGATTCTTTCATGTTGCTTTCGATAATCTGGAGCAGGCTGTACTGCACCGTCTCATCGATTACATGTGTAGTTGGGCATGCAATTTTGGTCACTGCGATCAGCCTCCAGGTGGTATGCCACCTCGGTTCCAATTCTGTCCGCCAAAGCTTGCCTGGAGATCTCCGCTCCAGTTTCCTCTTGGATCACAACGGCCTCTCACCACCCGCACTAGGCCTCAATTCATTCTGGATATCTGCGCTGCTCGTGGACACCTGGAACTTGTCTGCCGGCTTCTTGACCTTGGTGCAGTCTGCAGCTCAGAGACACTCAGCGTAGCAATAGCTGCCAACCAAGTCGAGGTAGCACAATACTTGATGCGCCCCTCATGCGCCAAGTCGTATGGATACTCATCGCTACTGAGTTCGACTCCTCTTGCAGAAGCTATCTACCTCCAGAACACGACTCTACTCATGTCCTTTCCATCCCTCGCAGTTGGCGATCTCGATTTCGAGAGCTACCGAGCCATGGTGAGAGCTGCAGCTGCGATAGGGGATCTCGAAAGAGTGCGCATTCTTCTCGATTCGGAAAAGCCTGTGCACATCAACGCCGCCCAGCGCCAGCAAATTACCAATATCGCCTTACTGGAGGCGTGTCACCAGAAACGAACGAGAGTGGTAAGACACCTTCTCGAAGCAAATGCCTGTGCCAGCAACACCCGTGTAACATTCGACGACAGCACATTCTTCACTCGGAGCGCACTGGGAATGGCGATCCAATCAGAGGATCTTGCATCGATCGGGGCCTTGATCGATCACGGCGCTTCAGATGGGTTGGACTTCTACCAGATGACTGCTGTACAATATGCAATTCAAGCTGGGAATTCTTCTTTGACGAAGATGTTGGTTGCAGCTGGCTACAGTTCCAGCGGAGCTTTTGATGTTGCAGTAGAGGAGGGACATATGCAACTCGCAAGAGAGTTGCTTGGCATGGGTGCTTTGATTGGCTCGCATGCCCTGCGCGGCGCCGTGATGGCCCAAGATGTGGACTTGGTCGAGCTGATACTCGCGCATAACACGTTTCCTATAGATGTGAAAGCACTCGAGGATGCCGTAACTTTAGGCAACGAACGTGTGATCAGTGTCTTGTACAGTCGCGCCGTGAAAGATGACCTACATTACGACCAAGGCCAACGAGTTGAAATACTGGAATCTCTGGTACGGTATGGAAAATCTGATCTACTGAGGCCTTTTCTGCAACGTGATAATGCCCGGATGTCACCTTCTGGGATCCAACTGGACTGGCTTATCCGTCCGCTACTGGCCGCCATCGAATTCAACGGAAGCGCAGCGTTCGAACTCTCTCAGGCAGTGCTAGGAGCGGGCGCTAATCCCAACACTTTGTGTTCGCAGCATGAATTGGAAGCAAGCACCAGGAGTCAACGTGACCGCCATGGTCCCTCGAAGGATACAGGTGAACGAATCGTTACTTCGGCCCTATTGGAAGCTATCCGTATTGGCAAGGAGGACATCGTCCAATTGTTGATTGACTTTGGAGCGGATGCCAATATGTCTGCATCAAGAGGCTGCCGAAAGACCCCGCTACAGCAGGCTGCCGAATCCGGTTCTTTGACGCTCGTTGAGATGCTGTTATTGCATGGGGCCGACGTCAACGCGGCTGCAGCAGTGCGACATGGAACTACCGCGCTTCAGCTCGCTGCTAAGCTCGGATACATCGGCCTTGCTGAATTACTGATTGAGCGTGGCGCTGATATTTGTGCTCCCGGTGCTGTGATCGGCGGACAGACGGCGTTTGCGTCGGCAGCTGACTGGGGAAGATTCGACATGATCAAATACCTTGCGTCTCGAGCCGAGATACCTGATGACGAGCTTCGGAATGCACAGAGATTGGCGCAAGCTAATGGGCATGGCGCAGTCGTTGAAGGAATCGAGTGCATGATGCTGCAACGACACAATCGGCCTCTCGATATAGGCTACCGTTCGACTGTCCCAAGCATCCACAAGGCAACTGTGCAGAACGCAAGCCATTTCGGAATGCCTGAAGACATTACGATGTCTAGCGGCAAGCAATCAGAAGCCTTAAGGTTCTTGTGCGCTATATTTCGCCGTGTACAACAAGAGAAAACGACACAACTCAACCAAAAAACGCCAACTGAAATACCAGGTGGCCCGGCAGTACGACTTTGGGAGGCAGGCTCGAGTGACGTGCATCCGGGTTTCGAGTCGCCCAATGTCTGCTACGCCTCCTCAGACTCTCGTCAGGACCCTTCGACATCTTGGACGTCCAACATATCTCCACAGCCCAGAGCTATGCCCTCTCACAAAAATATCATCGAGCTGGTTGGATTGAGCTCACAATACGTGTGCATAAAATGTCAAACGCAATTCTGCAATGCATCAGCTCTGAGTCGGCACAGACGTACGAAGCACACGGCTCCTACATCCAGGCAGGAATTCTCCTGCACACAGTGTGACCGAAGCTTTCGTCGCAAAGATCTGTGCGATCGCCATCAAGCGGCACACAGCAAGAATTCCCAAATGTATGCACCTTGTCCACGGTGCAATTGGCCGCATCGAAAGGACTATCTGAAAAAGCATTTACTGATCTGTCGAGGCAAAGTTGCGGTTCAGGTGGTTGAGGGCTGAGAGGCGGGAATCTTGGATTCCGAGGACAGCAGGAGGGCACATTTAAAAATTGTTCGCGAATTGCAAATTGCCATGGACTATCGTCAATTCATTCGATACATGAATTCATAAGTCCTTCCACCATGTCAGGGTCTAAAGCGGAAGACCACGATTCTGCTTCTGCCTGCATTCTGCCAGATTCAAAGGCCTTCGTTGACGAGAACTCTGGTCGACTCCCTGAGGTCGGATTCTAGTTCGACCGTCCGTCCTCTTGTCAGACGTTGCCCTCTAGTACTGCGCCTCTCTTGGTGGGTTCTCGCTGCGCTTGTACTGCGCCTCTCGTGGAGGATTCTCACTGCGCTTGTATTGAGCCTCCCGGGGCGGGTTCTCACTGCGCTTGTACTGTGCTTCTCTGGGAGGGTTCTCGCTCCGCTTGTACTGCGCCTCCCGTGGGGGCCTCTCTTGGGCATATCTTGCCGAGTTCTCGCTCCGCTTGTACTGCGCTTCCCGCGGAGGTCTCTCTTGGGCATATCTTGCTAAGTTCTCGCTACGCTTGTACTGCGCTTCCCGCGGGGGTCTCTCTTGGGCCCACCGTGGTGAATTCTCGCTACGCTTGTATTGAGCCTCACGAGGAGGATTCTCGCTGCGTGTCTCCAGACCAGCCGGCTCCCTAAGCAGCAAGTCACCTGCGATACGTTCATGAGCATCCTGTCGAGTGAGGAATACCGCTGACGTCAAGTCGAAACAATGCTCAGAAGTATTGTATTCAGTACGTACCAGTTGGCAAGGCTGCGGCAACAGTCGCGAGTGCTGCGAAAGCGATGGTCAAAGGGCTCTTCATCTTGGTGGTGGAGAGCTCAACGGACGTTTTTGAATGCCGTGCGAAGAAAGTGTTCCTGAATCTGATGTGAATGCCTTGGAGCAATCGAAGAGGAGGCCCGCTTCTTATCAGTCTTTCTTGGTTGCAATCGCTGGGATCCCTTCCCGTCGGCAAGACTAGCGCTGACAAGTGAATGTACTGGAACACAGCAACCTGCCTTTTCGAGCTTGGTATTGGACTAGTCTGTCACATGCACTGCAGACTGCGGTCAATGGCATAGACTTATGCACACCATCACCAAGGGTTATGGTGCTTGCCACTTCTGAGTCAAGTCGGACGTGGGTCCACACTAGAGCGGTCTCAGATGGGCGAAGTCGACTTGGACGGACACTCGATCGTACAGCATCTGCAAGACTCGGACTTGTTGCCGCAATGCAGGAATGTTGGTGAAGAGAGATCACTGGCCGCCAAACTTGTTCCAGTTTGTCTCGTATCCACTCCTCCTGTTTTGAGATCGGATATGGGCTTCCGTGAACGATTGAATCCGCAGGTGACACCCGCGACTCCTGTTCCACGCTTGGAAAGGCGTAGCAATTCCTCATGTCCATTAACAATCACGCAAACATGGCTGATAAGACGACACAAGGTGCGATAACGTGGTCTCACTTGACTAATCTGGCCATGAGTCAACTACTCCTGATTGTTGAAGCTGCAGCGGACTACGATTCGACGCGTCAAAGTCGCCGCCGCTACAGACATCCTTCAGCATGCCCGGCCGAAACAGACGTGACGTCGACTGTCAGCTGCTGAGCATTGCTTTGATTGGTGGCTTCCGCTGCCAACAAGTACCGACGCCTACGATTTGACTTCAATGCAGCGAGGTGCATTAGCTATGCATGAAGATAGCGGACCCGGGCATCACTAACGCCATTGGCCAGACTCTCCGCTTCGTTGGTATGCCATTGATCCCATATTCACTTTGCTTGGCCAATGTGCTTGGCACTCTTATGCATTCGACCGCAATGTACAGATTGCTATTGGAGGTGCAATTGCTTTCTCCGATACTTGATTGAACTCGCATTTTTGTTGCACAGTAACTCAACAGACACACAAGGCTCGTGTTATCGATCGTCCGCTTTTCCACGAATTACCCGAGACAGATGTGAGACAGTCTCCGCAAGCGCTTCACCGACGCTTCGTGATCAGCGAAGTCGCGGCGATAGAACGGACACAGCACGTCGCAGGTGATGAGGGGCGAATCGCGGGGTATACTGCACTGCCCTCAATCATCATGACTAGGACATATTACGTCTTCAGCATTTGAATGCTATACCCGGATCCATCTCGGCAAATTGCTCCAACTAGAAGCTTCCAGACTCCAAAAAGAGACATTTTCAATGCAAACTTGACTAAAAGTGCTGCTGTAGTTTTGTGTCTTCGACTGTTGTGCGCATGGACAAGCGTGTATTGGCCCACGTACGATGTTTCCCAGACCCGTCACCCTATCAGCCGGCGTTCTGGACATTTCCTCCAGAATGTAGGAATGGCCGAAACCGTATCAGTCGCATGCGAGACCCAAGATTAGGTCGACATGTCTGTCAGATCCCACATGGCCGTCGGCACATGCTTGACCAACACTAATACCTGAACCCTAAACTTGCTAGAAGACTCAAGCTTAGCTGCATATGCTACGCCTACCAAGTGACGGACCGACTGGGACCGTTCTTGAAGCTGCACCTGATAGCTAACATCGCACTGTAGAGTCTCTCATAGCTCATTGACCTCTTGATGCATATCGCTCATACGATGGCTTATACGTACCACGACACCAGCTCTCAATCGGATTTGGAGTCTGTCCCATTCATCTCTGAGGAGAAGACACAACGAAGGCATGGCTCCATCCTAAGCCGAGTTGCATTCGCAGCCAGGAGTGTGAAGAGAGATGTCGTGGTCGCCGTGCTGTCTGCCCTCTTCACGGCGTTAGTAATACGCAGCTACGAACATTTCTTTGCTATAGAGACTAAATCGTGCGAGGACATGCAATATGGCAGTACGTCTGGCGTGCGGCATTTCACCTTCAATTGACATACGTTACTGACTTTGCACAGAAGATTCACCCATTGGCACGATCGACCGGTCGTTCCATACAGAGACATTTCCCGCGTTCGACTACAGCTCAAGTCTTTACACTCAACATCCTTCGGAAGGCGATGTCGACGCAAGATGGGATGCTCTTGGGGTAGATTGTAAGCCACCGCAACAATACTGCGCTTTGAGTAACCCGTACTGACAAGTCCGCATAGCTGGCCACTTTCTAGTCCCAGTCTCAGAAGGTGACAAATATGGCTTCGACAAAAGCCGTCATGTCATCATGCCAGAAGAAGTAGTCGGACAGGAATCATACATTGTCTCGCTGGATGTGATGCATCATTTACACTGTTTGGTAAGCTCCGCAAAATCCAAATCCAGAACCTGATGGTTTCTGACCGCAAACTCCAGGACACACTCAGAATAGCTCTCTGGTACAATCGAGAATGGTACCTCGAAAACACCAACGAGCACGCATCTCACGCTGTCCATGTTGCTCACACAAGTCAGTTCCCCCCATTCTACTCCCTCCTTCACACCCCTAACATCATCCCAGACCACTGCCTCGACGCCCTCCGCGAACGCATAATGTGCCTCTCCGACGTAACATTCATCCCTTCAATCTGGATCGACCGCGAAGGCTGGATCCTTCCCGACTTCGAACGTGAACATAAATGCCACAATTTTGACGCCGTGAGAGATTGGGCTTACGCGAATCAAATGCCCGAAGCTGTCAGAAACCATACTTATATTCCTGGACCAAATGCGCAACTCACAACGCTTCCGGGATTCTACGATGAATATCCAGAGAGGAGGAATAAGGATCATAAGGCGATGAGTGGGGAGGAGGAGCATCATCATGGGTAGAACAGTCTCGTGAAAGGAAAGTCTTTTCTACCCAGCAATGCGATAGACTGTCGCAGTGCAACAGCCGCAGTGCATCGGCGCAGTAGTTTATCGCAGTGCATTACCGCAGTGCATTACCGCAGTGCATTACCGCAGTGCATTACCGCAGTG